TCTTGTGTGTTGTGTGTGTGGGGTGTGTGTTGGTGTGTGTGTGTGGTGTTGTGTGTGTGTGTGTGGGTTGTGTGTGTGTGGGTGGGTGGGTGAGTGGGTGTGTTTTAATCAGTCACTTAGGAGCAGTAAACATACACTTCCACAGTAATCTGCGTAAAGAACTCACGACTCACAGATTCCCTCAGGGATGATGCAATGGGTAGTGGTTACAGGTGTACATTGGTCTGTCACCATTGTGGTACAGCGACCAGATCCGTCCCTCAATACCTGCTGCCACTCAAACCCGTCGGGGCACTGACGAAGCACCTGGCGGTAGCTGCTCGCTACTGTGTCCCAGGTACACACGAAAAATCGCCTACAGTCCGTGGGATCCCCGAACCTCCCTTCCTCTTTACACTCAAACTTTGACAACTTCCAGTTGCAGGGGTTTTCGCATTTCTCCGTCTGCTCGTTGTAGAACTGGCCAGGCGGACATTGGAACACGTATTGTAGCCACCCTTTCGTCGTAACAATGCAGGTGTAGTATGTGTTGCAGTCTTCGGTGAAACCGAAAGTCCCAGGATTCGTACAACTGGGGAGACCAGAAGGGTTGAGACACTGGACCGAATGCTCATCAAACGTGTAGCCTTCAGGGCATCTGTATATGTGCATCTCTCCGAGATCGTCACAGATGAAGAACGTGGAAAGGTTGTTTGGGTCTTTATAGAAGACGTTGTTTTCTGGGCACGAGCAATCCTTGTGTGGTTCCGTGTAGCATACGTTGCTGAAGAAGCTACTTTTGTAGTTGCAGAAGTCTTCGTGACAATTCTGAGGGAAGGCCCTACCGTCCACGCAGTTGACGACAGTCTTGCAGTCAGCACACATGTACTGGTTGGGCGCGTCGCTGCACACCTCGTCCAGGAGATTGTTGTGCACTTGCTTGAAAACCTCTAGCGTTCCTGACCTATTACATCCCTGGAAACAGTTAACTGGCATTATTATAAACATTAAACACTCCATTATTGGTACTGGAATCATCAGCACCAATCAGAGTTTATGAAAACCTTTACGATTTTGCAATAAACCAACAAAATCGAAAAAGTTTCAAACAACCTTGATAACGTTAATCTTCTGCATACTTGGAAAATTTCTGCTCTCGTTCCAAGACTGTGAAAATAAAGTATCTCTGCAGTAGGTACTGAACCATGCTGGGCAGGTCTAACTCACACTCAGCACTGCAGTAGGTCTACTGGACCATGCTAGGTAGGTCCTACTCACACTGAGAGGTGTGCATGGTAAAAATGGCATATGATAATAACAGGTAATTGAAAAAATACAGAAAATGGAAATAATACTGTTTATATTTTGAGTATTTTTTCCCAACATCTTAGTGTATACACAGTGAGAAATATAATTATGAAAATAGCATACAATACCGACAAGTAGATAAGCAAGACACATGTGCAACAGTTCGGTTTTTTTTTTTTTTTTGTCGAAATTTTTCGCCTACAAAGTAGGCTTTTTCAATTGTCCCCATATTAAGTCACCTTCTGTTTTTTTGATGAGAAAAAAAAAAAAAAAAGCCTATTGTATGGGCGAAAAGTTCAACTAAAAAGATGCTCAACTGTTTAACTTTATGTTTAATTACCAACTTGCCCTCTTTGAAACCTTTTTTTTTTCATATTATTTCGCGGGGCATATTGGTGTTTCAGACATCTTTTCTGAATCACTGGATTTTTTTCCCATTTTTGTGGAAAATACGTATATATTTTCCAAAAATTTACATTTTTTATATGTTTTAGATGGCCATACGGGATTTAATAAAAATTATGTTATCAAAAAGGGGGAAGCTGCCCCTGCACAAACGACCGCCATTTTTGTTTAAAATTTGGATTAAAAAACGTTAGTGTAAGGGGAAAAATTTTTCCCGTGCTTAGAGGTTTAAAAAATTGGACCCCTCTAAATAGGAGCCCAAAAAATTGTTGGAGGGGCCCTTTTCCGGCAAAACCTTAATATCAGGCGATGGAAAAGGGCAGCCCCCCAGGAACCTCAGATAAGTCGGGTTATTTTTTTAACTCTGGCCATGTTTATTTCATAGTTGGACGTGAGGTTTTCTGATAGGGTTACACCTTGATCCCCAAACAAATTGGGTTTGAGTGTTTTTAAAGATTTTCTCCTTCTGTTTTGTATATGTTTTATAAAATTTTCCCTTTAAAAATTAATTACAGCCAAAAATTTATATTTTTTACCAGAATTCCTGGTGATATATATTTCTTTTTAAATTTAAATTGGGGTTTTAAAAGTAACTTGTGGATAAGACAGTTTGTAGGTATCAAAGGGGGGAAAATTTTTGCGCCCTGTGCCCCAAAATTTACTTGTCTATGAAAACTGAAAAATTTAATAATTATTTTTTGTTATATTTTACTGTTATGTAAAAAAATGAGTTAAAATTCAGATAAATGTTTTTTTCCACTTTTAAATTTTGGGCCTTTGGTCCTTTTTAAACCAAGGTAATTGGGGAAGTCTTTAAATTGGTTAAATTTACAAATTAATTATATGTAAAATTGAAGAAGGAGGGGGTTTAAGTCCACAGATTTACTTTATGTGTAGGGTTTTTATAATTTTTCCCGTATTAATTTGGTTTAAGTCAAGTGGGGCCAAAAGTTAAAATTAATGTGTAAAATATTAATTTTGCTTTTCCAAATTTATGGAAAGGGAAAATTTATTTTAATTTGCATAATTTTAAATTTTGGGAAAAGGGCCAAATTTCGGGCCAAGATTTATATCATGTATGTGTAATTGATAATCAGTTTTGCTAATTATTTTAATGTTTATAATTTTAATTTTGCAAAGCCAAATGGTTGGATTTATTTTTTAATGTATTTGTACAATTTTAAATTTGATAAGAAAATTCTGGCCAAGATTTATATCAGTTATGTTTTAATTGCTAAGCTCAAGTTTAGCTAAAATTTTATATTTTTTTTTGGCATGTAATTGCTAACTCATTTAGCTGGGATTTATTAAAGGAAAAGTTGTACCCGGGTTGTAAGTTGAAATCAGTGTTATTAATAAATTTTAAATTTTAATACTTGATCATGGCTAAAATGAGGAAATTAAAAATAGAAGACAAACAAAGGAAACAGAGCTTAAAAAAGCATCACTGAAAGCTAAAAAAGGGGCATTAAAAAAAGCAAACAAAAAATTTTTGGGGAATTTAAAATGAATCAAGAAACTGGGGAATACTGATGATTTAAAATTGTTTTTAAATGCTTTAAGTAATAGTTTATGATTCATAAAAATTTTTAATTACAACAATATAAAGGGGAGATTTGTTAGTAAATGTGTAATGAGACTAAAGTAGATCTCATGATTAATCAGTATTATGAACTAGGGGAAAAGGGAAATTCTTTTTTGGGAAAAGGGCCCAAGGCCCTTTGAATAAATTAAAATGTTTTAAACCAGGCATTTAAAACGGTCTGACCCAACAAAAAATTTATGTTTTGCCAAAACCCCCAGAATTAGTTTACCTGTATTTAACCCGGGGAAAAAAACTAGGGGGTTGGGGTTTGGGGTCAATTTTAAAGAGCTGAGCATGATAAGAGTGATCTACCTGTGAAACTAAATTTTTTTACCTCAAAGGCCCTAAGGGGAATTTGCTCAAACTCATACAACCTTTTCCCCAATTTGATAAATTTAAAAGGGAACAGTTAAATTGTTGAAGGTCACTTATGGAAATTATAAAACAAAGTAGGTTGGTTCTAGGAATTTTAAATTTTTAAATTTTAAAAATTTTCCAGATCACACTTAAAAGGGTTTAAAAGCACTTTAGATTAAATTTGGAGACCCAATCTAAAAATTTTAAAGTAAAAAAATATAATCTGAAGGAACAGACTGGTTATTGAGGCCAGGTCCCAAAATAAATTAAGCAAAAAAAACATTTAAAATAAATCTCAAAAACAAAATCCCCGGGTTATTTTTTCTGGGGGAAATAAGACTGGGTTCTACAAAAATTAATTGTGCATTTGCGGGAACCACCCAAAAACTAACTCATTTTAAAGGGGAAACACATAATAACTTGAGGAAATCTGTTCAATTCCCAAAAAAGGGGAAAAAATTTACCCCAAATTTTGGGTAATAATAAAAATTTCCTTTTCCCTAAAAATAGTTTTAGGGGGCATTCAAGTAGCGGGGAATCGAAATAATGATTCTCCACAAGGAAAGAAGAAAAAGTACCCTCCTAAGGGGACCCCATTAAATTAAAAAACCCGTCAAAGAAAAGAGAGATTGTTTTCTGCAAGGGTACCATTTTTCTGGAATTGCAATTTTACAATTCAGGGAAATTTAAAAATTTTAAAAATTTTTGGAGGAACTCGACAGATGTATCAGGGGGTTTAAAGGTAATCAAAATGTAAAGATTGCCCAGGGCCAAAATTAAACTACTGTTATTAAGGGGCAAAAAGGGAAGACCCAAAATATTTTCATGTGAAAGGGGTCTTTATGATAATGTTGTTAAAAATGATAATGTTGACAATCCTGACACAACAAAACTAATGAAAAAAATTTCTGCTAATTTTAATAAGGAGGGTTTTGGGCTGAATAGCCTTACCGGGTGTTCCCTAAAAATTGATGATAAAGGGCATAAATCAAAAAAAAGCAAAAGCATTATTGGACCAGGATCCCCGTACTTTCATAAAACGTTAAATTCTTGATGGTATGAAAAATACAGATGGGAAAATCCCACAACTTTTAAATTATCTGGGTTTTTTTCTCAGAAAAAAAAAGTTCAATTGTATGAAATGTTTTTGTAACTTAAAGGTTGGGGAATGAAAAAAAAAACGTGTTAAGAAGGGAATTGTAAAATTTTTCTTCCAAGAAAAAAATCTACAGGAGGGCTTTGTAAAGCACAGAAAGACTTTTACATAATTTTTTAAATTTAGCACCTTTTGGGGTAAGTGATGATTTTGTAGGCCCCAAAAAATATTTTGATAGGGAGTGACTATTATGCCTCCTTTGGTAAAAAGGGGATGTTTAAAAAAATGTGGTGTCACCCTTTTAAAGGGCTGCAGGAGGCCATGTAATGTTGGTAGGGGTTTCCCCGGAATAATAATTCATACTAAGGAAACTACAAATACCAAAACTGTGTGTCTTACTCATAAAAAACGTTTTCCCCAGTATTTAAATTTTTCCCTAGAGGGTGGTTTTTGAGCCCCGTGCATAAATTTGGGAATTAGACGCACTGGAATAAATGCAAATTAAGAAAGTCCAGAGATTTTTTTACTCGGAAAAATACCGAGGGGATCAAAAATTTTAATCTGGACAATACTGGGTAAAACTTTCCCGGGGGATGAACCTCCAGAATTGCCCCTAATTCAAAAAATGGCATATGGGAGTTAAAGGCTCACTCCGCAAAAATAGTAAGGAAAACCCAAAAATTTTTAAAGCCTATAAAATATTTAAATTTTGAGCATTTTTTTAAAAAATTTATAAAAAAGGTAAACCCCCTGGGGGCAAGCCAAAATTTTTGGTCACTAAAATTTCCCCATCACGGAGTAAAAAGGTTTTTAAGCCAGCCTATGAGAATTGTGTTTAATTGTATTTCCAGGGGTAACCCAAAAAGTACCTAGTTTAAAAGGGCTGTTTATGACAGGTCCGTCGTTGCGGAAAAAAAATTTGGGGAAAAACTTATTAAATTTCAGAGTGAAGGGATTATGCCCTTTTGGCTGACAAAAGTAAAGCTTTCCCAAGAGAGGGGTTTTTAAAAAAGACTGACCCGGGGTTTTACCCGATTTTTATGGTAAATCCCATGACCCACTTAGCCCTTGAAAAACCCTTTTACTTTAGGAGGTTTATTTGGGTGCCACAACCTTCCCTTTCCCACTTCAAACGACATACATGCCCCCTTAAAAGTATGGAAAGTTTCCCTTGAATAAAAAATTAGCAAAAAAATTTTTTGTGACCCAAATTTTTCCCGGGTGGAGAGGGGAATGAAATAAAGC